CCAGCCTCTCCCTAGCTCCACCCTGCACTGGGGCTGGAGAAAGGTGAGGGCAAATATTTACATTCTCCCTGTCTTGGAATTTCCTGCAGAGGCCACGGCTTTATCCCCCAAATCCGACTCCACAGTGGCCACAGCTACTGTCCTGGGCTCCCGGCCGAGACCATCGAAGACGCCTTCCATGGGCACCGTGGGCATGGGCAGTCCCGAGTCCTCCCACGCCCCCTCTCACACGACAGCCAAGCCCTGGGAACGCACGTCCTCCACCTCCCCTGAGTCACCAGGTTAGTCCTCGCTCCACCCTGGGAGAGGCTGGCTCTCCGTGTGCTGGTTCTGGGGTCTGGACTGAGGACCAGCACAAGGCAGCTGTGGGCTTTACACGCCGAGCCAGTCAGGGCTGACTTGGCCCGGCCAAGGCCTCCTTGCCTGGGCTTTCTTCCTCTCCTTGGCTTAGTCCCAGATAGCTAGAACAGAAAGCCCACCTCCCAGATCCTCCCAGATGTGACACAGCCAGCCTTCCCAGCCTGCATGGTAGAGCCCCTGCCACGGCTGGGAGCGGCTCCCACGTCCTCCCACGGTGGACGGTGTCGGGAGCCTCTGCAGCCTGGAGCTGGGATCCGTGGGGTGGAGGTGCCGTGAGGATCTGGACTTCTTGAGGCTTATCTGATGCTCGAGTGTGGCCGGCACCCCAGTGCTGCCCGCTTGTTCTCTGCCGAGGTGCATCTGGTGATGCCCACTCGAGTCTCCAAGGTGCTAGGGTGAGAGCCCGGTCATCAGAGCCTCTCCTGTTTCATGAGAAACTAGGCCTTGGGGTCTCCAGGCTGACCGAGCTGTCCTCTCTCCTCCGCAGGTGTGTCTTCACGCAGCCTCAGAGATGTCACTGGTGAGTTTTTCCTTGCCTGGCGTGTCTGTGGTCAGGGTGGCCACAGTCCCAGCGTGCTGGACGCCCCGGTTCCGGCCTGCAGCGCTGGCATGACCCAAATGGGGCCCCTCTCACTCTCAGAAGGCCTTTGTTAGATAAGAAGCTAGGTAATGCCCGATCTGTCAACTTGTTTGCCACCCCGCTTTGTCTTGATGTTGGCAGTGTCTAGCTGTCGGGCTGCTGAGGCTCAACCCAGAGAGCTGACACACCACAAAAGGGCTCAAGGCCTTCCCAGGTCTACATGGCAGTGCTCGCCTCTTGGTCAACACACATCCGAAACCACAGGTGCCTGCTGCTGGTGCTGACGTGATGCCGCCCTCTGCCAGATGCTGACAATCTCCCTAGGGTGTGGCAGCAGGCACTTCACAGAGAGGCTGTCCGTATTATCAGCACAACAGCCTCCTTTTGGCCAGGCGTGGTGGCTCATCCCTGTAATCCCAGTAACTTGGGAGGCGTAAACAGGAGAATTGCTTGAGGCCAGGAGTCTGAGATCAACCTGGACAACATAGCAAGACCCTGTTACAAAATAAACTAAAAATAAAAATTAGCTGGGTGCAGTGGCTCACACCTGCAATCCCAGGACTTTGAGAAGCCAAAGTGGGAGGACTGCATGAGCCCAAGAGTTTAAGACCAGGCTGGGCAACAAGCGAGACCTCATCTCTACAAAAAAAAAAAAAAAAAATCAACCAGGAGTGATGGCACATCCTGTAGTCCCAGCTACTCAGGAGGTTGAGAAGTGAGGATCACTTGAGCCCAGGTGGTCAAGGCTGCAGTGAGCTATGATGGCGTCACTGAACTCCAGCCTGAACAACAGAATGAGACTTTGACTCAAACAATAACAACAACAACAATAATAACAACAGTTATTATTACTATTTTGCTGCCGTTGATACACTCAGCCTTGACAGGAGCTGTTTCTACTTTGTATCATTTCTCCATTCACTCAGTATCAACTCAGTCTTTCTTCTGTGCCAGGTGGGGTGCTAGGCATACCAAGCCCCGGCCACGGCCTCTCTGCATCCTTCTCCATCCTGACCCGATCTGCACCGTAGGCGGGAGTCACGGGCACTGCCGGCCTGGCGACCGCTTATCCAAGGGCCAGCCTGGCACCCCGTCACCTTCCTCCCTTCCTCTCTCTGTCTCCCCAAGTCTCTTTCTCTTCCTCTTTCTCCAATCCACACGCCCTACCGGAAACCCAAGAGGGCGGAGGACTTGGCAGGCGACCTGTTCATTCATTGTCCTGGGAGTTCTGGCATCCATTTCTCTACGAGATTTGTCCGGACATAACTGAGGAAGAGGCCAGGGCTCTGTCTGGGGCGAGGGCACTGAATTCAAGAGGCTGTGCTCTGTCACTGGTTCAGGGGCCCGATGCTTGAGTTTGACTCCACAGTGTTTATTCTCATCTCAAGAAAGAGGAAGGAGCGTCATTAGAGCGGAAACACAGCTGACATGAACTTTCCCTTCCCAATAAATCACTCTGTAAACAGTAACACACGCCAAGTTACTAGCTAATGTGAAGACACGGGTGACCGTAGGGTACAACATCCCGGCTAAAAATAAGCTCCTTTTCAAGTCATATGGGTGATGAACTTTAAGTCTGAAGGCTCAAAACATTTTTCATCCATTTCTCGTGTTTTCTGCTACCTCTTCTGCGATGACTTTTCTTTTTTTTTTTTTATTTACAAGTTGTTTTTATTTTCCTATAATTTGACTGTTTCTTCTGGTTGCAATGTCATTGCAAAAATATGAAGGAAGAATTCAAACCTTTTTTTTTTTAAAGAAAATAGTTGTACACAGTGGCTCACGCCTGTAATCCCAGCACTTTGGAAGGCGGAGGTGGGAGGATTGCCTGAGCCCAGGAATTCAAGACCAGCCTGGGCAACAGAGCAAGATCTCATCTATACAAAAAAAAAAATCAAGAAATGAGCTGTGCGTGGTAGTGTGTGCCTATAGTCCCAGCTATTCGAGAGGTTGAGGCAGAAGGATCGTCTGAGTCCAGTAGGTCGAGGGTGCAGGGAGGCGTGATCATGTCATTGCGCTCCAGCTTGGGCGACAGAGTGAGACCCTGACTCAAAAAAAGAAACAAAGAAAAGGAAGAATATCTAATACCTTGATATATTCCTCGAGACTTTTCTTGCACGTGGTTTGTTGGAGATTACCTTGGATTCATTTTTGTCTCAACTAGCTTTTTTCACTTGCGAAATTGTAGACATCTTTCCCTGTGAATAAATGTAGATCTACTTCATAAATTTTTTATTTTGTATTTTGAGACAGAGTCTCACTGTTGCCCAGGCTAGGGTGCAGTAGGGCGATCATAGCTCTCTACAACTTTGACCTCCTGGGTTCAAGCGATCCTCCCACCTCAGCCTCCCAAGTAGCTGGGATTATAGGTGCATGCCATCACGCCCAGCTAATTTTTTTTGTTGAGACGGGGTCTCGCTATGTTGTCCAGGCTGGTCTTGAACTCCTGGCCTCAAGTGATCCTCCTGTCTCAACCTCTCTAATTGCTGGGATTACAGGTGTGAGCCACTGTGCCTGGCCCACTTTATAATTTTTAATAGTTGAATAGTATGGATAGACTACATTTTATTTAGTTAATTTTCTACTGATGAAAGATTAATTCACATTTAAAAAATTATTTTAAATAATACTTGAGTGAATACCTCAGTATATCATCCCCTTATATTTTTTAAAATTTATTTACTTATTTATTTACAGACAGGGTCTCACTCTGCCACCCAGGCTGGAGTGCAGTGGAGTGATCATAGCTCACCATTGCCTTGAACTCCTGGGCTCAAGCAAACCTCCTGCCTGAGCCTCCCGGGCAGCTGGTACTACAGACATGCACCACCACACCCGGCTAATTTTTAAATGTTTTGTAGGGGCAGGGTCTCACTCTGTTGCCCAGGCTGGTCTTGAATTTCTGGCCTCAAGTGATCCTCCCACCTCAGCCTCCCAAACTGCTGGGATGTCAGGCGTGAGCCACCGCACTCGGCCTGCAAGCATCTTTGTTAACAATACTGCTGGTCCCTTGCCCTGTCCCCCTTGCTCACACACGAAGACCCCCCCCCGTCCTGTCTGACAGACTCGGGTGACAGTCGTAAGTGCCCCACACTCCGGGCCAATCCTTTCGATGTAGTAAAAACGGTCCGGAGCTTGCCCCTCCTCCTACAGCCCCTTTCTCCACACGCTTCTTCCTTCTCCTTGCCGCTCTTCTGCTGCCATAAAAAGTTGCAAGTAGCCAGGTTCGGTGGCTCAGCCTGTCATCCCGTGCCTTTGGGAGGCCGAGATGAGTGAATGGCCTGAGCCCATGGGTTCGAGACCCGCCTGGGCAACTCGGCGAGACCTCATTTCTACAATAAATCAAAAATGAGCCGGGCGTGGTAGCGCGCGCCTGTAGTTCCAGCTACTGGGAAGGCTGAGGCGGAAGGATCGCCGGAGCCCAGCAGGTCGAGGCTGCGGTGGCCGGGAGCAGCTACTGCACTCCAGTCTGGGCGACAGAGTGCAACTCCAACTAAAAAAAAAAAAAAAAAAGTTGCAAGTTGAATAAATGAATAAGTTGAAAGGAAGACGGGCCTACGGGCTCCAGTTTCTAAGTCTGCAAAGTTGACGGGAAGGAGAACCTGGGCCGGGACAGTGAGGGGCACTGTGGTCCTTGCTGCTGAGAGCCTTGGAGGTGGCAGCAGGAACCCCCGGCCCCTCGCCCTGCCCCCTGCCCACCTTGACCTTGAGGCTCTTACCGTCCCCTCCCGACTTGCTCTGTCCTGGCCCAGCACCCGGGGTCTTTTACTCCAGAAGAACAAGGATGCGGGGCTGGGGGGGGATGACATGGGTGGGGATGGGGGGAGCCAGTAGTGTCGGCGGGAATGGGGGTACGTTTTGCCCAGATGTCGAGGAGAAGGGCTTGCATGGCCCCTAAGAAAGGCGAATACTGGCTGGGCGCGGTGGCTCACACCTGTAATCCCAGCACGGGGAGGCCAAGGCAGGAGGATCCCTTGAGGTCAGGAGTTCAAGACCAGCCTGAACAACCTAACAAGACCCTGTCTCTACAAAAGAGTAAAAAAATTAGCTGGGTGTGGTGGCACACACCAGTAGTTCCAGTCATTTGGGAGGCTGAGGCAGGAGGCTCGCTTAAGCCCAGCAGTCTGAGGCTGCAGTGAGCAATGATCACACCACGGCACTCCAGCCTGGGCCACAGAGCAAGACCCTGATTCTAAAACACAGAAATTTAGACACTTTTTAAAAAAAGATGTTGCCAGCGGTGAGCTGATTGGGAAGGCGCGTGGCTCTCTCCTCAGAACGTCCATTGTAAAGAATTCTGTGATGTGTAGCCACGAATGTGTCCTGGGGCTCACGTGGTCTGTTCCCCTGCAGTGGCCGTCTCTACAGTTGCTGTCATGCTGTGCTCCGTGGCGCTTGTCCTGGCGTGTTGCATCAGAGTGAGGTGAGCATCACAGAAGGCGCAACCGGCCAGACTCACCCTCCCTACCAGAAAAGAGCTGCATCGTGATTATTCCAGAACCCTCTCAAGGGCGGAATCCGTCTCCTGGCCGTCGGCTCTCCCACACCCCCACCCGCCCCGGCCTCCTGGAGCGTCAGAACCGAGCAGTCCTGGTCAGCCCCAGAGCCCAAAGGGCCTCTCTGCCCACGCAAGAGTCAGAAATGGGGCGACCTGGCCAGGCGTGGTGGCTCCTGCCTGTCATCCCAGCACTTTGGGAGGCTCAAGGAGGAGCACCACTTGAGCCCAGGAGTTCGAGACCAGCCCGGGCAACACAGGGAGACCTGATCTCTACCAAAGACATCAAAAGTTAGCTGGGTGTGGTGGCATGCTTCTGTAGTCCCAGCTACTTGGGACTCAGGTGAGGTGAGTGGATTGCCTGAGCCCAGGAGGCCGAGGCTGCAGTGAGCCGAGATGGTGCCACTGCTCTCCGGCCCAGGCGACAGAAACAGAGTGCGATCCTGACTCAAAAAAAAGAAAGAAAGAAAAAGATAAAAAGCCCAAGCCCGGTTTGACCAGGTTCCTGCCACCCTTCTCTTGTTCTTGCCCCTTGGACGTCTTTCTGGCATTGATGGGCAACGCGGGGGTGAGGGTGTGGGGGGGGGACTTGCCCGACAGCACTGGCAAAGCTTTGGTGGAAGGGCAGCTGGAAATACCCAGGTGGGACCTGTATACTCTGTCAAGACAGGCACCCTGGCCGCTCCAGCTCCCAGCCACGCCTGTGCCAGGGCCGCTGTCTGCTAACGTGCTCAGTGGGAAGTGGCTGTCGGTGTGGGCGACCCTCGCCCCTTCCCTAAACCCCTGACCCATCTGCTTTGCAGGCAAGCCTCCCGGCAGCGTGGTGTTGAAGTGGAACCCACGGAGACCGTGCCGATGGCCGGGGGGACTGGCAGCGGAGAGGAGGACACGGCGCTCTGACCACACAGCCTCGGAGACATAGGGAGCCGGCCCACCTGAGCCTGGAGCCAGGGAGCCACTCTGTGCGGGGGACCGAGGAGAGGCACAGGAGGCCCCAGGAACAAGCCCACCAGGGTCGCCGAGTGCCCCTGTAGGATCTCACCAGGGATGGTGCCCCCATTTGGGGGCACACCCCCTGCCCGCCGGCCACCTTGGGCACGGGGATGGCTCCCTGGAGAGGCCGAAACCGTCCGGGAGGGTTTTTATTGCATTGTGACGTGTATTCAGGATGGCTTCTCCGCTGTCTGGCCGGCCCTCACCCCAGCTTGTGTTTATGGAGAGAAGGAACATACCAGACCTCGCCATCCATTACAAGACCCTCCTGGCCCGGGGGGCCTGCAGGGAGACGCCAGTGTCTGAGCCCCAGATGACGTGCCTCCAGCTGTCCCACATGCACTGACAGTGCCCGAGAAAGGCAGAGGAGACACTGGGCCCAGGGAACTCTCTCCATGGAAGCGTTCAGAAAGAGAGCTGAACTGGATGCCGTTTTCCATATATATATGTGTATACACATAGATATATGCATTTATATTTATAATTCATTGTCTATTATACTACCTATTATGTACGATTTGTATTTTGAAATTGTGCCTTGTATAAACAAAATAAAAGATCTATTTTCAATATAAAAAATGCACTAGGCCACGTGCAATGGCTCACGCTGGTAATGCCAATGCTTTGGGAGTGGAGGCAGGAGGATCGCTTGAGGCCAGGAGGAGTTTGAGACCAACCTGGCCAACATAGCAAGACTCCTATCTTAAAAAAAAAATTAAGCCGGGCTTGGTGGCTCAGCCTGTAATCCTGCGCCTTTGAGAGGCTGAGGTGAGTGGATTGCCTGAGCCCGCGGGTTCGAGACCCGCCTGGGCAACTTGGCGAGACCTCATCTCTACAATAAATCAAAAATTAGCCGGGCGTGGTAGCGCACGCCTGTAATTCCGGCTACTCAGAAGGCTGAGGCAGAAGGATCGCCGGAGCCCAGCAGGTAGAGGCTGTGGTGGCCGGGAGCGGCCACCGCACTCCAGTCTGGGCAACAGAGTGAGACTCCAACTCAAAAAAAAAAAACAAAATTAGCTGGGCATAGTGGTGCACGCCTGTAGTCCAAGTACTCAGGAGGCTGAGGCAAGAGGATCGCTTGAGGCTGGGAATTCAAGGCTGCGGGGAGCTATGATCATGCCACTGCTCTCCAGCCTGGGCCACAGAGCGACACCCTGACTCTGAAAACAAACAACTAAACAAATGCACTAAAAGAATCACCAGGAAGAAATGTTCCACAGAGGAAAAAAGAAAAGAAAGAAAGGAACTCAGAGGCCAGAATAATCGAGCTGAGGTCTCTTCCCAAGGGCAAAAACCCTGCCTCACCCAAGCTCAGAGCACGGTTTGGGGGGATTTCCAGCAGAACTTCCCTATGAGAGAAGCAGCATGACCTCACCGACAGCAGCAGGTTGTGACCCAGCTGCATGTGATGCACACACGGTCTCTCTCCTTTCCAGCGTTCTTCTTTCTTTGCTGCTGATGTTTCTTTCTAAAATCATAGGCCTAACCCTGCCTGTTCATTTTGCTGACTAAAAAAATTGGGCCAGGCGTGGGGGCTCCTGCCCGCCATCCCAGCACTTTGGGAGGCTGAGCCAGGAGGATCGCTTGAGGGTAAGAGTACCAGACCAGCCTGGGCAACATAATCTCCATCTGTAAAATTAAAAAAAAAAAAACAGGGCTGGGTGCGGTGGCTCAAGCCTGTCATCCCAGCACTTTGGGAGGCTGAGGCGAGAGGACTGCCTGAGCCCAAGGATTCAAGACCAGCCTTGGCAAGACCTCATCTCTACAATAAAAAATTAATTAATTAAAAAAACTAGTTGGGCATGGTGGCACACGCCTGTAGTTCCAGCTACTTGGAAGGTTGAGGTGGAAGGACCGCCTGAGCCCACCAGGTCGAGGCTGGGGTGGCCGTGAGCATGCCACTGCACTACAGCCTGGGGGACAGAGTGAGACTCCAACTCAAAAACAGAACAAAAATACTTTTTTTAATTAGCAGGCATGGTGGTTCAGCCCTGTAGTTCCAGCTACTTGGGAGGTTGAGGCAGGAGGATCACTAGAGCCCAGGAGTTTGAGGCTGCAGCAAACCGTGGTCGCTCCCCTCACGGCTCTCCTGCCTGCGTAACAGAGCGAGACCCTGTCTCAAAAAACAGAAATGGAGACTAAGGACTGGAGAAGTCGACCCGCCACAGCCCCCCGGCTCAGGTAACGCCAGAGTTCGACCAGAACCCGGGTGGGCACGGGTGGGAGCAGGGCAGCCCTGGCTGGAGACCAGCCGCCCATGCCCCCTCTGGCAGCCGGGCGCGAGGGGACCCACAAGAGCATGCGGGAGGGGGAGGGGCACACAGCACCCAGTTCACACGCCACCAGGGTGCCCAGGGCCGCTCCTCCATGCCTTCTGCATGGCCTCCATGTAGAGGGCTTCATCAAACTCAGAGGTGGCGCCTCCACGGGCCGGCTTGGGCTTCCACACAGCATGGTGGCCGCCGACTGACAGAAAGTAGAAGTGGCCAGGCTCCTTGAAGGCAGGCCAGAGACTGGCGCACATCACTTCTGTCCCATTCCACCAGTCAGAGCGAGGCACAAGGCCAGCCCAAAGTCAAGGACAGGGGACACTAGAGGGGAGGGCAGGACCCAGCGGTGCCATCCTGGGGTCCAGCCCCCACAACCTGCAGGTCAAGGGGAAGCGAAACTTCGCTCTCACTCCTCAGCACTCGGCAAATGCCTGCAAGTATCCCATCAATGAACGAACAGGATGACCCGGAGTTGGTGTTTGCCAGGTGTGTGGAGCGGTTCCTCTTTTTAAATTTTTATTTTAAAATACAAAAAGTAGGCTGGGCGTGGTGGCTCATGCCTGTCATCCCAGGACTTTGGGAGGCCAAGGTGGGAGGATTGCTTGAGCCCAGGAGTTCGAGACTAGCCTGGGCAACATAGACCTTGTCACTACAAAAAAAATTAGCCAGGCCTGGTGGCACGCACCTGTATTCCCAGCTACTCGGGAGGCTGAAGCAGAAGGATCACCTGAGTCCAGGAGAGAGGCTGTGGTGACCGTGAGCGTGCCACTGTACTCCAGCCTGGGTGAGAGTGAGACCCTGACTCAAAAAAAAAAAAAGGCACTCTGTTTATATTTCTGGGGGAATCTGGTTGACACTTTCCTCCCCTGGGTGCCCATTTATAAACCCATCCATTCTGGTTTGGCTGTTTTAGCGGTCCAGGAAGTCACGGATTGCTAGCTCTGGGGCTCTCCAGCTCTGGGGCTCTCCACCGTGTCGGGGTGCCTCGTCAACCACTAACGCAGAGGGGCCGGCTCCCCCTGTCCTTGCCCCCACCAGGACGTGGGTGTTTGCAGTCAAACCCAGGTCTGAGGTTCGCTGCTCAGAGCCAAACTCAAGAGTTGAGAGTGGGTGGAAGGAGAGACGGGTCTTCTAGGGGCAACCTGAGGAGAGGCAGACTCGCGTCTCCAGCACCATCTCAGATCTGAGGCCAGTCAGGAAGGGGTGGAAAGGGAACACGGGTGCAGGAGACACACAGGCGTGGGGTCCACTGTCTGCTCCGATGGCTGCCCCAAGTAATTGTCCATGAGGGGTCCGCCTGGCGTCATCCTGGCTATGGCAGGGTGGTGGGTCCGTTGGCCTTGAGTTCCCTCAGGCAGGCGGGTTCTGCAATAGAAACTCAAGCCCAGCTCATTCTGAGTTGGCCTCTGGAACCTCGGGGCCTGGCAGGTATTGCCCTGATGGTGGCCAGGCTGTGCATTAACCGTCTGCAGCTTCTTCTTAAGCGGGGAGCGAGAAGACTGGCCTCTATGCCTGGCTTGCTGTAAGAGTCGCCTCTGGGTGTTTTAAGAAAGCACAGAGTTGCCGGGCACAGTGGCTCACCCCTATAATCCCAGCACTTTGGGAATCCGAGGTGAGAGGATTGCCTGAGCCCACGGGTTCCAGACCAGTCTGGGCAATTTGGTGAGACCTCATCTCTACAATAAATAAATTTAAAAAAAAAATTAGCTGGGCATGGTGGCATGTGCCTGTAGTTCCAGATACTTGGAAGGCTGCGGCGGAAGGATTGCCGGAGCCCAGCAGGTTGAGGCTGCAGTGGCAGGGAGTGTGCCACTGCACTCCAGTCTGGGCAATAGAGTGAGACTCCAACTCAAAAAAAAAGTATTTTTAATTGACCAGCCTGGGCAACTTGGCAAGACTTCGTCTCTGCAATAAATAAAAAAGTTAGCTGGGCATGGTGGCATGCACCTGTGGTTCCAGCTACTTGGAAGGCTGAAGTGAAAGGATCACCTGAACCCAGCAGATCAAGGCTACAGTGGCCACAAGCGTGCCCCTGCACTCCAACCTGGGCAACAGAATGAGACTTCAACTCAAAAATAAATAAACAATAAAAAAATTCACTGGGTGTGGTGGCAACACCTGTAGTCCCAGCAACTCAGGAGGCTGAGGCAGAAGGCATCTCCTGAACCCAGGAGTTGGAGGCTGCGGTGAGCTGTGATCATGCCACTGCACTTCAGCCTGGGTAATGGAGACCCTAAAAAATTTAAATTTTAAATAAATAAGTAGGGTGACAGCACAGGCACCATCCTTCTCACAAAGGTAAGAGGCCACAGGAAATACTGGCATGTTTCTCCTCTCTCTAGACACTAGAGCACAGCCATTTAGGACCTAGTACTGGGCCAGGCACGGTGGCTCATGCCTATAATCCCAGCACTTTGAGAGGCCAAGGCAGGAGGACAGCTTGAACACGAGAGTTCAAGACCAACCTGGGCAACATAGTGAGATCTCATCACTATTGAAAAAAAAAAAAAATTAAACGGTTGTGGTGGTGTTTACTAGTCCCAGCTACTCTGGAGGCTGAGGTGGGAGGATCACCTGAGCCCAGGAGGCTGAGGCTGCAGTGAGCTATGATCATGGCCACTGCCCTCTTATGGCCTG